ATATGCAGAAGATGTTATATAAAATCTAATGGTAACCACAAATAAAAAACTGATAATAGATATGTAAAAAATAAAGAGAAAGGAATCCAAGTATATCGCTAAAGAAAACCAGCAAACTGTGAGAGAGCAAGAGAAGAAAGGAACAGAGGAGAACTACAAAAACAACCATAAAACAAGTAACAACATGGCAATGAGTATATAACTATCAATAATGACTTTGAATGTAAATGGACTAAATGCTCCAATCAAAAGACATATGGTGACAGAACAGATGAAAAAGCAAGAATTATCTATACCCTGCCTACAGAAGACTACTTTCAGATTTAAAGACACACGTGGATTGAAAGCGAGGGGATGGAGAAGCACTGATCATGCAAATGGAAGTGAAAAGAAAGTTAGGTAGGAAGAGAGTTAAGGGAGACTCCAGAGTGTACACCCCAGTCACCAGATCCCTGACAGTTTGGCGAGGTGGGGACCCCCACCCCCTCCCAGGAGCACCGAAGGAGGGAGATGTGGTAGGGCTTGGCAAAGTTTAAATCAAATTTAAATCTAGACTTGTAATCAGACAGGGCATGTAATAACTAAAAGTGACTGCCCAAAATGATGTTTGAGGGAAGGAAGAACTTTGACATAGGGCATGTGGAGCTGGGGGCAGGGATTTGAAAGAATACAGCCATTTAATGTGGATTCTCTAACAAATTGAGACTTCTCAACAAACAAATACAGGAGGGAATAAGTAGCATGATATCATTTATGCACGTGAAAATACACATACAGCGACCCTATGCATTTTTCAAAGGTACAGGTATCTTTAAAGATATGTAATAAACAGATTTGAGTAGGTGCCTTTGCAGGGTGAGAATATGGAAGATGAAGGGGAAAATCAAGACAGTGATAATCAAGCTAATGATGATAACGTGAGGACCCTTACCTAGAGAGAAGATTAATTGGACTCCGGGGGCCTATAGGGAAAAAAAACCCAAAGAGAATAGTGGGGAGAGAGAAAGATCTCAAATATGGACATTCTCTTACCACAGTGAAATAGAACCAGAGCCCATGACAAAATGTGAACTACCCTATCAAAGGAAAAGAAATTAACTTTCAAAAATGTTAAAGTAAAAACAGAATTAAAATCTATGATTATTTTGTAGAGAGATAAGAATACCACATGTGGCCAAGCCCATGGGATATGGGCCTGAACTGCACATAAGAGTCCCCGTCTAAATATTTACATCAAACAAGAGAGAATGAAAATAAGTTATTCATTATTATCCTCAGTTATGTATTACCACACATTCAGCTCAAGACTCTTGAAAAGGAATTAATAAAGACAAAAAAGGGATAATCAGAAAGCAGAAAATCATAGCCTTGAGAAATGAAATCAATAGCTAGTTCTTAAAAAAAAACAAAAAACAAAAAAAACAGAATAGGTAAGCACCTTGTAAATCTTGCCAAGAAAAACAGAAAGGGAAGGAAAATGCAAATACTTCATGGTGTGAGTAAAAAAGAGGCGAGAACCGTATCCTGGGAAAATACACTTCTTCAGAATCTGAAGAATGTTTGTAACCTCCTCTTTGTGGATTTAAATTCTGGATGAAATGAGTAATTTCTAAGAAAATGCAAATTACGTAAGTCCAATAACCATGGGCAAAACAACTTAAAATTTTGCCCACAACCGGTACCCCTCAAAAGAAAACAGACCCACATAGTTTCAGAGGGCAACTTATGTCCAGCATTCAAGGAGCACATCATTTATATTGTTTCAAATGTTCCAGAACTTGGGCTGACATTTTTCAAGTGAAGCATAGTCTTGATTCTGTATCTTGATACAGGGGGGCGCCTTCCTCAGCGTTCCTTAAAAAGGAGCCCAGACTCACTGGAGAAAGAAAACAAAATGCAAAGGCCGGGTGGGTCATGCTGCCCTGATGTTTCACACAGGACACTTCCTTCCCAGGCCAGTTCCTTTCCTGGGCCCTGCACCCACAGGGCCCTGTGCCTGGCCCAGGGCCCAGCACGGGCCGTCTGTTGTATGAATAAACAAATTAAACATGTTCTAAAAAAAAAGATATTATAAATCTGAATCTGACAGATGAATGAAGCAGAAGGACACCGTGAGCAGGGAAAGACAATCCTGGCACACAAGCTAGGCAGACAGTCTTTTCTCGGGGCTGACTCGGCACATTTGATCAAAGCAGGGAGGATCTTGAGAGCTGCAGAAAACACGTTTTATGAAGCAAGGCATTCACTCCTGAAATAAAATGCTATAGCAGAACAGGATGGAATGGCTCTCTCCCTGGTAGACGATATGCCAGATGAGCCCTGTGCTTTATGATGAAGGCCAGCAATAAGAAAAGGCCCAGCTACAAATTCCACTTGGAGACGTGCCCAAGGGACTGAAAAAAGCAAACATCGTGAGAACCAAAAAGTCAAAATCGTTACTAATTACAGCTCCTAGGAGTGTAGGCCTGCAAAGCCCGAGAGAGTCAACTAAAAACTCTTAGATATAATAAAAGAGTTCAGCTCGCTCTTGTCAACAAGATATTTTCAACAAGAGGATGAGTCTGGGGGAAGGAAATGAAGAAGGTGAAAATGAAGGAAGGTCTTGTCCTGCTGAGGAGGAAGTTGTAGATGCTGATTAACTCTATTTGTTAATTCAGGTCTAAATACGTGTGTGGAATATATAAGGTGACCAGTAGCAACGTGAAATTGAGACGTGACAACTTCTAAACTGTTACAGCAGAAAAGTAGAGTGGGAAAAAAAAAATCAACCCAAAACATAAGGAGGGGGGACAAAAAGAAACATTCTTCTTGGTAAATGGATTAAAGGATATTCTCCCAGATATGCTAACAAAAACAGCATCCAGCTTTATGCCGTTTAACAAGAGACACACTTAAAACAAAATGACACAGTGTCTCTCAGAAGACAGAGCAATCGTTCTGGAATATAGTTCTTGCACTGCAGTAGACAAGAAAAATCAGAAGCATACACACTGAAAAGGAGTCTCTCTACTGAGATTGTTCAGTTGGAATGCACATGGAGAACAGCCAGGCAAATTATTTAAAAGGAGAATAATGAAGGAGGACTTGCCTGACCACAAACAAACAAACAAAAAAGGAATTAAAAAGCTACAATAATTTAGGAAGAGTGGTGTTGGCAGAGGAATGAGACTGTAAGAGTCAGAAACAGACCAAAATAAGATGGGAATGTAGAATATAATAAAGGGGGCATTTCCTTTTTTTTTTTTTCTAAGATTTTGTTTTTAAGTAGGCTCTATACCCAGTGTGGGGCTCGAACTCACAACCCCAAGATCAAGAGGCACACTCCACCAACTGAGTCTGCCAGGCAGCCCCTAAAGGGGGCATTTCTAATTCATTGCCAAAAAAACATTAAGTATTCAATAAGAGATTATTTACAAAACTGGCTATATTTGGAGGAAAATAAAACAGATTGTTTCTCTCAACCTTCCAGATGAATCAAAATTATAATATTTAAAGAAAAGAATTAAGAACATGCATGAGTGAATAAGTTTATAATCTTAGGGAGGGAAAGGTACTTCTAAGCACAGCACAAAAACCACTTCACCAAGGGAAATAATGATAAATTTTTAAATAACTCTCTATGGAGAAAAGTCCACACCGAAAAAAGGCAAATGATGGACAAATAGGGTAAAATATTGTAAAGCATTTTATGAAGGATTAAAACTTCCAGTTCCCAAAGTTTTAAATAACTTTTTATTTCAAAATAATTTGAGACTCACAAAGAAGTTGCAAGTATAATATTTTTACCCACATTTACTAATTGTTAACGTTTTACCATATTTGTTTTATAATCTCTCTCTCCATATGTGTATGTGTGTTTATATAAAAAGTGTATATATTTATAAACCATTTTAAGTTAAGTTGAAAAAGACGTGATGTTCCTTTACCAATAATTACTACAGCATATAATATCCAGAGATTTTACAAATCAATAAGAACAAAAGTGGCTTAATAGAAAATCATGAGCAAAGGACAGAGAAAAGTGTAAAGGGTCCACTGAACACCTCAAGCATCTTAGTCCGGACTCCCTTTGTTCTTTTACAATTTATTTAGAAGTCGAGTTCTTTCCCTGACCCTGGGGAAGAGCTTGAGCAGAACCAGAAGGCTTTGCTCACTGTGGTTAATGTAATCATAGTTGCCAGGTTTGATTTAAAGTAAAACTTCTCCCCACTGCTGTCTAGGGCTTTTGGCAAACAGAAGGCCTGGGAGGGAGGAAGCCAGGTCTGTTTTCCCCATTCCTTCCCTTCAGCAACTGCTCCAACCCCATCCTGCTAACCAGTTTTCTGAACCTGCCAAGGTTAAAGCAGGAGAGTGAGGAGGCGAGAGAACCAGCTCATCCCCCAGGCACTTCCTGCTCCCCTGGTCCTGGGGAGATTGACAGCCGACTCTGCCCCTGAGCGGGCAAACTCCATACTCTGAGTGATCTTGTTGAAACCCCTCAGAGGAGATCTGAGTGTGGGACAGGCACCCCCATCCCTTAGATGGGGAAGAGTGAGTGCACAGAAGCCGCTGTTCCCTGGGAAATCGTCCTCATAAAATCACCTCCCTTTCTACGCTCTTGATCCTGTGATACACATACATTGTGGAATGTCGGTCACACAACTACCTTTGAATCCTGATACACAGTGTATCTTGATGATTTCGTTGAAACTTCGTACTTAATAGCCTGTTGCATAAGCAATTTACAAAATTGCCCGATTTCATGAAATTAAAGCAGAAATAAAAGTTTTAGTCTACCAGAGGAACAAAAGTTAAAATGAAAATAATGCCTAATGCTGGTGATGACACAGAGAAAGGGGCACTCATATACTGCTGGTATTTGAGAAGGCTAACTTGTCAATATCTTTTAAAAATTTTAAATGTGCATACAACTGATCTTGTAATTACACTTCTAAAAATTTATTAGAGAAATATTTGAACAAATGTGCAAAGATCTATGAACAAAGATTTTTACTCTGGCATGGTAGAAAAATACTGAAATGAGTTCAGATGTCTATCAATAGGAGAATGGTTAAACAGATTATGACATAACAATATGAGAGACTTGTTGTTCAGTATTCAAGGAGAATGGAATGTATTTATATAGACAGTCCAAGATAGTTCAAGATCTATTTCAAGTGAAAGTAAAAAATTTGGAGAATAAAATTATAGTACAGTCTTTCATTAAAGATAAAAACTAGAAAAAAACCTAAAACTTTCTTAGAGTTTCATATATGTATAGAAAGAAGTGTTAAGGATAGAAAGTAAACAACTTACAGCAGAAATTTCTAGGTAGTTTGATTATAAGAAAGTTTCATTTTCCAACTTTTTCATTTATGTACTACTTTTTTAAGGAGATGCATGCATTTCCTTTCAAATCACACTATATATTCTTTAAAATAAGGTAGTCATAAGGGAATCACAACAGTACAAAATTTAAGAGATGAAACCACGTTTAATTAAAAGATGATTTCATGGTTTTAAATACTTTAAAGACAAAAACTAGAAAGAGTAAATCTTTTTGCTCACGAAGACAGAAAAAGAAAACCAAATCAAGCCAAGGGAAGCAGAAGAAAAATTAAGAGAAATAGAAAACAATGAAATAAATATTAAAAACTACATACCAGGCCACTAGGCAAGTTGCAACATATTCCATATCACTGGTATCGCCATAGAGCCAATTTTATGACCACGTGAGAACTGGGTCAGAAATGATTAACAAAACAAACAAGCATACATGTATTTGGAAATAATAAAAAAAAAACACTTCCAAATAAGTCATGGGTCAAAATGAAGTAAGAATGAGAATTATAGAAAATATTTAGAACTGCATAACAGTAAAAATGCTACATATTAAGATATGTGGCATTAGGCTAAAGCAGTATACAGAGGGAAATTTGTAGCCTTAAACATCTTTATTAGAAAAGAAAAAAGTCCAAAAATACATTGAAGGTCTTCTTTATCCACTCATCTATCAATGGACACTTGGGCTGCTTCCATATCTTGGCTGTTGTAAATAATGCAATAAATGTAGGGATGCATATATCTTTTCAAATTAGTGTTTTCATTTTCTTCAGGTAAATGCCCAGCAGTGGAATTATTGGATCATAAGGTGGTTCTACTTTTAAACTTTTTGAGGAAATTCCACACTGTTTTCCACAGTGGCAGCACCGGTTTGCATTCCCACCAACAGTGCAAGAGGGTTCCCCTTTCTCCGCATCCTCACCGAGTCCTGCTGTTTTTTGTGTTGTTAATTTTAGCCATTCTGACAGGTGTGGTGATATCTCATTGTGGTTTTGATTTGCATTTCCCTGATGATGAGTGATGAGAATCTTTTCATGTGTGTGTTGGCCATCTGTAGGTCTTCTTTGGAAGAAATGTCTTTTCAGGTCCTCTGCTCATTTTTTAATCCGATTGTTTGGGTTTTTTGTTTGTTTGGGGTGTTTTTCTGATGTTGAGTTGTATGGGTTCTTTACATATTTTGGATATTAACCCATTATCGAAAATATCATTTGCAAACACCATCTCCCATTCCGTAAGTTGCCTTTTCATTTTGTTGATGGTTTCCTTTGCTGTGCAGAAGCTTTTTAGTTTGATGTAGTCCCAACTGGATTGTTTTCATTTTTGTTTTGCTCTTGTTACCCTTGCCTGAGGAGACAGATTCAAAAACATATTGCTAAGACTGATGGGCAAGAGTTTACTGCCTATGTTTTCTTTTAGGAGTTTTATGGTTTGGGGTCTTACATTTAGGCCTTTAATCCATTTTGAGTTTATTTTTGTGTATGGTGTAAGAAAATGGTCGAGTTTCACTCTTTTGCATGTAGCTGTTTGGTTTTCCCAACACTACTTATTGAAGAGACAGTCTTTTCCTCATGGTATATTCTTGCCTCCTTAATTAACCTTTGTCATAGGTTAATTAACCATGTAAGCATGGGTTTGTTTGGGGGCTCTCTATTCTGTTCCATTGATCTGTGTCTATTTTTGTGCCAGCACCATACTATTTTGATTACTCTAGCTTTGTAGTATAGCTTGAAAAATCTGAGACTGTGACACCTCCAGCTTTGTTCTTCTTTCTCAAAATTGCTTTGTCTATTCTTGGTCTTTTGTGGTTTTATACAAATTAAAAAAAAAATTTTTTTTTCTAGTTCTGTCAAAATTACTGCTGGTATTTTGGATAGGGATTGAACTGAACCTATAGATTGCATTAGGTAGTATGGACATTTTAATGATTAATTCTTCCAAACCATGAGCATGGTGTATCTTCCCATTTATTTGTGTTGTCTTCAATTTCTTTCATCAATGTCTTCTAGATTTCAGAGTACGAGTCTTTCACCTCCTTGGTTAAATCTATTCCTAGGTATTTTATTCTTTTAATGCAATCGTAAATGGAGTTGTTTTCTTAATTTCTTTCCGCTACTTCATTATTAGTGAATAGAAATGCAACAGATTTCTGTATATTCTGTATATTTCTGTATATTCTATGTGTTAATATTTACATGTTAAATATTTAATATTTACATTGTAGATTTTCCAGTTTTATTTTATTATTGATCTTTTGTTTTGTTTCATTGTGGTTGGAAAATATCCTTGGTATGATTTCAGTCTTAAATTTGTAATATTTATCATGTCTCTTTTTTGTGATTTAATCAGGGGATTCTTCTATGTATACTTGAGGAAAATTTGTATTCTATTTTTCTTGGATGGAATGTTTTCTATACACCTCTTAGAACCATGTATTATGAGATATGCTTCAAGTAAAAAATGTTCTTGTTAAAAAAAAAAATAGTAACTTTAACTGAGGGTACTCATTTAAAATAAAGCATATCAGAGGGGAGGTGGGTGGGGGGATGGGTGAAATAGGTGATGGGGATTAATAGTCCACTTACCATGATAAGCACTGCATAATGATGCATAAAATTGTTGAATCACTATATTGTACACCTAAAACTAATATAACACTGTATCTTAACTAGACTGGAATTAAAACTAAAAACAACAAAAAATTTTTTAAAAGAACTGCTTTTGCTGCATCTCAAAGATTTTGAACCATTGTATTTCCATTTTCATTTGTCTCAAGGTATTTTTTAAATTCCTCTTTGATTTCTTCATTGACCCGTTGCTTATTTGGGAGTGTGTTGTTTAGCCTCTACATTTCTATTTTTTCCAGGTTTTTTTCTTGTAACTGATTTCTAGTTTCATACCGTTGTGGTCAGAAAAGATGCTTGACAGGATTTCAATCTTCTTAAATTCAATGAAACTTGTTTTTGTGGCCTAACATGGAATCTGTCCTGGAGAATGTTCCATGTGCACTTGTGCACTTGAAAAGAATGTGTATTCTACTGTTTTTTGGATGGAATGTTGTGTGTGTGTGTATATATACATACACACATATATATAATATATGTATATACAAAACATTCAGCATATCTGATCTAGTGGGTTGTTCAAAGGCACTGTTTCCTTACTGATTTTCTGTCTGGAAAATCTATTCATTGAGTAAGTGGTGTGCTAAAGTACCCTAATATTATTGTATCACCATAAATTTCTCCTTTCATGTCTGTTAATATTTGCTTTACATAATTAGGTGCTCCTACATCGGGTGCATAGATATTTACAATTGTTATATCTTCTTGTTAGATTGATCCCTTTATCATTATGTAATGCCCTTCTTTATTACATTAAGGTTTTTTTTAATCTCTTTTGTCTAATATACGTATTGCTACTCCAGCTTTTTTTTTTCTTTTTGCTTCAATTTGCATGGAATATCTTTTTCCATCCCTTCACTTTCAGTTTGTATGTATCTTTAGTTCTGAAGTGAGTCTCTTACAGGTAGCATATAAATGGGTCTTGCTTTTTTTTATCCATTCAGTCAATTGGAGCATTTAGTCCATTTACATTTAAAGTAATTACTGATAGTTATATATTTACTGCCATTTTGTCAATTGTTATCTGGTTGTTTTTATAGTTCTTCTCTGTTCCTGTCTTCCTCTCTTGTTCTTTTCTCTTGCAATTTGATGACTTTATTTAGTGTTTTGCTTGGATTCCTTTCTGTGTGTGGGGGGGGGAGTACCTATTATAGGCTTTTGACTTGTGGTTACCACTGAGGTTCATAACATCCTATATATATAGGGGCGCCTGGATGGCTCAGTCGTTAAGCGTCTGCCTTCGGCTCAGGTCATGATCCCAGGGTCCTGGGATCAAGCCCCACATCGGGCTCCCTGCTCTGTGGGAAGCCTGCTTCTCCCTCTCCCACTCGCCCTGCTTGTGTTCCCTGCCTTGCTGTGTCTCTCTGTCAAATAAATAAAACCTTTAAAAAAAAAATCCTCTATATATAACAATCTATTTTAAGTTAACATCACTTAAGTTTGAACATATTCTAAACACTACATTTTTATACCCCCACCACCTCCACATTTTATGTATATGATGTCATATTTTACATCTAGGAAACGGTTTTTGCAATGGATGCCATTGAGACAAATGAAAGTCCACATGAGGAAGTAAATAAAAATAGTCCTCTCTCTATCTTACACCATTCACAAAATGAATGCATGTGGACTTAAGACCTAAATGTGGAAAACAAAATTTCCAAACTTTTAAGAAAAAAAATACAGGAAAACGTCTTTATGACCTCAGGAAAAGGAAGGATTTCTTAACTAAGATGCAAAAAGCGTAAACCAGAAAGGAAAACACGGATCTACGTTTGACTGCAATAAAACCTAAACTGCTGTTCAGCAAAGGACAGCGTAAACGTAATGAAAAGCTGGGACAAGATATTTGCAATACATACAACGAACACAGAACCAATATCCAAAATATAAAAATATAATAAAAAGAAAAAGGCAAACAATAGAAAATGTGCAAAATATCTGAAAAAGTGATTCATAGAAGAATCACGAATGGAGAACGAGCATGTGAAAAGATGCGTAACTGCTCAGTAACTGGGGACATGAACACAGTAACCACAATGCCATACTATTGCTCTGTTTCTCATCTAACAGAATGGAAAGCACGTTATAGTCTGCCAGTACCAAAAATGTTGGCAACAATTTGGAACAGAATTCTCAAACACTGCTATAAGAATATGGATTCACACAAAACTTCGGAAAACAATTTGGCAATAACTATTAAGGATGAAGGTATGCACAGCCTGTGACCCACCAGTTCCTTGCAAGACACATCCTGTCGAGAAATTCTGGAACGTGTAAATAGGGAGATGTGTGTGAGACTATCTAGCAGTTTGTGATATGAGAAAACTGAACACTGGGGTACCTGGGTGGCTAGGTCTGTTGAGCGTCTGACTTTTGATTTTGGCTCAGGTCACGATCTCAGGGTCATGGGACGGAGCCCTGCGTTGAGCTCCATGCCCAGCAGGGAGTCTGCTTGAGAGTCTCTCCCTCTGCCCCTCCCCCACCCCCTGTGCATGCACATACTCGCTCTATCTCTCAAAAATAAATAAATAAAATCTTTTTTAAAAAATTAAAAAAAAAAAAAGACCTAAGATGCATTGCCATTATTACCATTATTGTGGACAAGTGCAAAGAATATTTTCTGCCCTATTTTACAGACTTGGAAACTGAAGGCCAAGGAAAGGAGATTTTCATAAGGTCACACAGTGCCCTGTGAAAAGGAAGACATGTCCCCTGAAAGCCCTCTCCCTGCCCCGGGCCACACACCCCGCACCTGACAAGAGTCCATGCCCCATTCTGAGCTGACGCACAGCATGTCTTCCCCAATGAACTCCTTCTGGTCCTTCAAGAAGAGGAACTGGTACTGCTGATGGCAGGTTTCACTGTTTATGATCTTGACTGCCACCTCCTGAAGACTGTATGGAGTCTTTGGGGTTACTGAAGAGACTGAGAGAGAGAGATCCTGCCTCGTCATCCCTTCAATCATTTGGCATGCCTCCATCTTGAAGTTGTCCAGATTTACTAGGGTGGGAGGCAAGGCCATTTCCTGGGATGGTAATTTGTAAAGACCCCATCCCCACAGCCTGACTTTTGGAAAAAAAAAAAAAAACCTAAGCTCATTCAAAAGACTGAAGCAAGAGTATCCCCCTGAGCAACATCTAGGCACTGAATGAGGACAAGGAGAGACTCCTTCAATAATTCAGGTTTCATGAGGGTGGGGGCTGAGCACTCACTGCCCCATGACTACCTGGCAAGATGTCAAGACCCCAGAGCCCTAAGTGTGCCACCCCCTGGAAGGCAGGATCCCACAAACACTCCTAGATTCTAGGACTCGAGGGTGGCACCCACAGAGGCCAGATCTTCAGGAATTATTGGTGCCTGGAGCTAACAAGTATGTATGATTGCAGCCCAGTGCCTTACTGCTTCCTGAGACCGTGGCCCACGTGCCACTTGCAGACAGAGAACCCCATTAATAGCCAAAGATTGATTGCCTGCCATGCTGCAAGGTGAGGGCTTGGCACTAGATTTAACTTCACTTTGGCAACAGAGGTTCATGGAAGCCATGTGCATCTTTTACACGAGAGCACTGTGTGTATCTTCCTAGCAACAGAGGTCAGGATAGTGTGCAGCATGTGTGAGCCCTCAGGAATGTTTGTTGATGGAGCGAACAAGTGAATCAAGGAATGAACAAATAAGAGGCACCTGGGTAGCTCCGTCAGTTGGGCGTCTGACTCCCGATTTTGGCTCAGGTCATGATCTCGAGGGTCGTGGGATCAAGCCCCATGTTGGGCTCCGGGCTGGGCATGGAGCTTGCTTGGGATTCTCTCTCTCCCTTTGTCTCTCTCCCTCCTCCCCAGCCCCTGCTCACTCTCTCTCAAGTAGATTAATTAATTAATTTTTTAAAAAAGGTGGGAATAAACAAATGACCCCATGCTGAAGTTGTGTTCTGAAGAGGCCAGCGTCTTGGGCCCTCTGCCTGCCTTCACTCACCTCCAGTGCTTTTATGTCCCCACCCGATCACCCAGCACATGGTTCCGACAGATGGCTTGAATCTGTTACTGGGTAGGCAGACAGGCTGGATGAGCGGGGACCAGGAGATGGGGTCCCTGAGCTTCAGGAGAGCAATGTCCTGGGATATGAGGTTGTGGAAATCCTCGTGAATCACGATGCGGGTGAGCAGGAGCTGGGTGCCGTTGTCTGGGAGGCTCTGGACTCCCACCCTCACGGAGTACATTTTGGGGTCCTTGGATCTGCAAGGCCACGGGTAGGAGGCAGGTTGCCAGCAGTGAGGCCATAAGTGGTTGGAGAGACACAGACTGAGCACAGGGTAACCCAGCCAGGCCCCTAGTCCCAGATGCCCAGATTTACCGAGGGGGCCCCCAGGCCAGAAAGCAAAGCCCCTGGACTGGTTGGGTGCCCTGACTGACCTCTGCAGGCAGTGCGCAGCCGTGAGGACCCACTGATGGTGGATGAGGGAGCCGCTACAGATGTACGTGCCCAGAAACAGGATGCTCACCTGCCATGGCCACTTGCCTACCTCCACCAGCTTCCCCTTCACCATCTTGCAGGCGATGTTGGTGTGACCGCAGGTCTGCAACCAGGGTTCTAAGGAAAAAGGCAGAAAGGGGACTGTGCCAGCCCCGAGCAGGTTCTCAAGCGGCCCTCCCAGCGCCATACACAGCAGACCATCGAGGCAGAGAGGGCCACATTCCAGCCATTGCACAGGTGGGCAAGGGCGTTTCATACAGCCCTAAAAATGACAACCAAAGGCCCAGAAGCAGCAAGTGCCCCACCTGATAGAGCAATCCGCCAAACAAGGGGGACCGGCCGGCCCCTCCAGGGCTTGTTAGGAACCACCACCCCAGGGTTTATCTCTGTGTGCTCGTTTACACAGGCAGATGGTTAGAGTAGCAAAGGAGGAGACTCATCCCAGGAGTGAGTTGCCGGTCAGGGGGTAGGTGATGGGGCACAAGTGAGCAGGATGGCTTGTAGCTGTGCAGGGATGTGGCCTTGTCCAACTCCAGCACCCGCCTTCACAGCCCCCCCAGGGTGTGCTCTCCGTGACCATATGAGGAAGTGAGTAGAGATGCTTGTCGGTCCCCTCCTTGCCCCTCTCTGTCCCCAACAACAGGAGTGGGAGCAGAAGGAGCTACACGGAACTGGTTTTGAGACTGAGGCTTTGAACTGGCCTATCTTGGACTGGTATTTATTAACTGAACATTGTTGAGGACAGGAAAGGGAGAAATTCTACAGCAAAGGTTAGAGACCAAGATGAAAGACAAATAAAAAGGTTTTTTTATGTATATGGCCTTCTGTCAAGTTTGGGCTGGCCAACAAGCTGTTAACACACAGTCATGGATCCTCACAGAGGCAAAGCCAGACATGTGTTTACACCCGTCGGAAGCTGGCGTGGTTCCAGAAAGTCTGCTTCCCTCCGTGTGCATGCCAAGCAGAGCATCAGGGACTCACCAGCAGTAACCAAGGCTTGTCCTTGCTTAGGGAGGGTCCATAATGCTGGTGGAGGGGTTCATTAATAAACAGAACAAGGCTAATAATCTATGGTGGTCCATATACATTAGCAGAAGCACCTAGTGGGCCCTGCCTCATGGAAATTCTCCCCAAACCATTCTACCATGTCCCAGGGCTCCTGGTACAATGACATGTAGATGGCCGGCTCCCTTGCCACAAACTTCCGTGGCTGGACACCTTTACCCTCAACCAGGGCCTTCCACAGGGGTCCACGGGCACCCTCACGAGCCCCCACATCTCCATGGACTTTTGTCTTGCCTTGTTCTCTCCCTGCTCCCTTCTTGTTCGTGTCCCTGTCTGATGGCTTGCCGTCCTATGTTCCACCTCCCCCCAGTGGGAGTCACATTTCCAGCTCCTCTCATGTGCTGTGGTGGGGTCATGGCTACCTTGTTGTTTCAGATTACAGCCTGCCCCATGGACACTGTCCCATTCCGGGAGGGAAGAGGAGTTCCAGAGGCTTGCCCTTTCCTTTCTCACAAAGCTGTGGGCCCTGCAGAACCAGGGCTCCTTAGAATGACCTTCAGCACCTAAAAAGTGACAGTCCTAGGGGGCAGGCGTGGGCTTCGCCTCTGCGCTCCACACCCTTCATGGGTTCCCCAGGCTCAGAGAACTGCCCTCCTCAGAACTCACATCCAAAACAACACCAACTCCAACCTCCTTCCTCAAAACCTCACGCAGGAATGGCAGGATTCAGCCTGGAGATGCCAGCACCCCGCCCCCCACATCCGGGGGGAGCCATGATGGATTGGTTGGGGGCGTGAGGTGTTACAGATCAACCTCGCCAGAGGCCCAGCCTCACCATCCCACACAGAGGGGACACTCGGGGGCTCAAACGGACTCCACTGCAGACGACCTCCACCCCTTCTTGGAGCCTGGAAGTCACAGCACACCCACTTACAAGCCGCACCTTGATGTCGCGGCCCACACTCCCCTGTGGTGACAGGAAGACCTATTGTGGCTCAATGACCTCTGTCTCTGTAAGGTCACAGCCTGCCACCCCCACTCCCACATTATCGTAGGCACCTCAGTCAGCTCTGTGGAGCAGTGCCCGTCCTCACCATCCTAAAATGGGACAGCCTAGAGTGGGAGTGGGAGAACACTCGCTCACTCGCTCGCTCGCTCTACAAGGCACTGGTCTGAGAAGGGGAGTCGCGCAGTGAGGGGAAAAAGAAAGGCGAGGTCCCTGAGTTGGGGGACATGTCCCTACTCACAGATGCCATGCGAGCATGTGTCCTGCCAAGTGGAAGAACGGTCAGCGGGCGGGTGACCTGAGCCAGGGCCGCCACCAGCAGATCACACATGGTTGCTTAGAGCAGGGAGCCAAGAGGACTTCTGTCACACGGCGGCCCAAATGTTTCACCCCGGAGAGTCAACTACAAACTGGTGTTGAATCCTGGCTCCACAAGTCACTTAGGTCCCCTGGGCCTTGGTTTCCTCTCGTGAAATGGGGACACCATAAAGCCCAGCTCACAGGGGGGTTGAGACCTTAAGTTGGTAGCGTTAAGCGGTCACTCACGCCTCACGTTGTCATCCCAAGTCCTGGTCCTCCTAGATTGCACTTCCCAAACAAGCTCATCTGGTCCATGGTTGTTAGCTTGTTCCCCAATTTCTTTTTTTTTTTTTAAGATTTTATTTATTTATTTGTGAGAGAGAGAGCCCAAGCAGGGGGAGCAGGGGCAGAGGGAGAAGGAGAAGCAGCCTCCCCGCTGAGCAGGGAGCCCGATGCAGGACTTGATGCCAGAACCCTGGGATCATGACCCAAGGCGAAGGCAGATGCTTAACCGACTGAGCCACCCAGGCACCCCTGTTTCCCAGTTTCTAACAAGGCTCTTCCCTCATGGTCATGGCCACCCTACAAACTAGAACGGCTGTGACACCGGCTGGGTCCCTAGGCTGGCACACCATGCTGGTGACAATGTGCCCCTCAGGATACAGAGAAATCTAGGCATGAGGACAGCACCCAGGCAAACAGCCCCCTCCTGCCTCTCTCCCATGTCCCTAAGGCCCTACCTTCAAAATACAGTGGGGTCCCAACTCTGGCAGAGGAAAATGGAGATGTGAGGCTCTGAAGATCTCCTGGCCCACACGCCATAGCTAGCAGGTGCCCAGCCTGCCCTGGTCCTCATAAAAGGACGTGGGGGTGGGGTGGGGCAGGGCGTCTCCCCTGTGTGAGAATTCTAGAACTCATGGTTTGTTTATTCACAGTAGCGGGGATTGGGCCATTGCCCCAGGGTCGGCAGAAGCAGGATCCCGAGAAGGAGACAGTGTGGTCATGGCGAGGGCCTGCCAGGGTCACTGTGGGATGCTGCCACCAGGCCCCTCCCTGGAATGATTCTCCTTGTGCCTATCCCTGAGCCTGCGACAGCACCCAGTATCTGGCCCACGACAATGCCTCCTGGGCTCTGTCTTGGCTTTGATGGTGCCCCTGTGTGCCCAACCCTGAGTCCACTACAGCCCACCTGTAGACCCCGGTGCCCGGTCCAGTCTCCTTCATGAAACCCTTCTGAGGGCACCCTGAAGGTGTAGAAACTGATGAGGCACTGGAAAGGGATGATGGCTCATTCCTGCTGGGGGGTGCCTGAGCCAGAACTAGAGTTTTCCTTTCTCCCACAGGCTTGGCTCCTGGGTAGAGGGAGGCCAGGTGTTCTGGGCCTGGGAACGTGACTTTCTGAGAGGAAGCAGCTTGCAGGCCTGGGTCTTCATGAGCCAGCAGAAGAAATGCCTTCTTGGGACAGCTCCCCAGCACCTCACTGAGGTCCTCTCCCAAGGAACCCCATGCTCCTCACACTGTCCATTAGGACTGCTCACTCCTGCCCACCCCATCACCAGCGTTGCCGAGGACGCCGGGTAATGAGGTTGCTGACACACTACTGTGGGGGGCGGGGGGGCGGGGGGTGGATGAACCAGGCCACCACAGTGGGGAACTCCGGGATCTCTTAGTAAAGCAGAGTATGTGCCTACCCCACAACCTGCATGTCCCCTCCTGCTGGTGGGCCCTAGACACGGTCATGCACAGATGCAGCAGGAAAGGTATGAGAGACGGTTCGTGGCAATACTGCTGGTTAGAACCCCAACTGGAAGCTACCCAACAGCCCCCAAATGTGGAGGCTCAGAATACTCACCAGCAGTGAGTGGACTGCTGCATGCAGCAACATGGCCAATCTCATAAACAAACATAAAGAAGTGGGACACAGAAAGGTACATACTGCATGAAATTCAAAAACAGGCAAAACAAACTATGTCTAGAGATCCATGGCAGAAAATCAAGGAAATGATTATTCCTACAATCAGATTTCCCCTAGGGGGAAGAGGGAGAAAGAAGGAGAGAGAAAAAGAAAAAAGAAAAGGAAGGGAGGGGAGGGGAGGGAAGGGGAGGAAGGGAAGGGAAGGAAGGGAAGGGAAGGGGAGGGAAGGAAGGGAAGGGAAGGGAAGGAAGGGAAGGGAAGGGAAGGGAAGGGGAGGGAAGGAAGGGAAGGGAAGGGAAGGAAGGGAAGGGAAGGAAGGGAAGGGAAGGAAAGGGAAGGGAAGGGGAGGGAAGGAAGGGAAGGGAAGGGAAGGAAGGGAAGGGAAGGAAGGGAAGGGAAGGAAGGGAAGGGAAGGAAGGGAAGGGAAGGAAGGGAAGGGAAGGGGAGGGAAGGGAAGGGGAGGGAAGGGAAGGGAAGGGAAGGGAAGGAAGGAAAGGGAAGGGAAGGGAAGGAAGGGGAGAGGAGGGGAGGGAAGGGAAAGGAAGGGAAGGAAGGGGAGGGGAGGGGAGGGAAGGGAAAGGAAGGGAAGGGAAGGGAAGGAAGGGGAGGGGAGGGGAGGGAAGGGAAGGGAAGGGAAGGAAGGGGAGAGGAGGGGAGGGGAGGGAAGGGAAAGGAAGGGAAGGGAAGGGAAGAGAAGGAAGGGAAGGAAAGGAAGGGAAGGGAAGGGAAGGGAAGGGAAGGGAAGGGAAGGGAAGGGAAGGGGAGGGAAGGGAAGGGAAGGGAAGGAAATCTAGGGAAGAAAAACCCTATCTACTCTCCTGCCTTCGTGGAAAATAATACTCTAGGGGGATCAATCAATGAAACAAAATAAGAAAATTCAATAAAAACCAAGCATATCCATCATCACCACCGATGTGAATACAAAAACCCTCTACTTTTTAAAAGTCAAAGATTCTTATATTGGGTAGAAGAAAAGGCCACTCACATGCTACTTATCAATGAGCCACCTAAAACAGAGTGACATGAAGCAGTCAAAAGTAAAAAGACAGGCAAAAATATAGTAAGTATATGCAAGCAAAAATAGAAGTGTCAGTGTTGCTCTCTAGAGATGTGATTCAGGACCAAAGCTTTGCACAGAAAAAGCTATTTCATGCTGGGAAAAGATAAAAATTAGAATGACTATGTAACATCATAAAGTTCTGTCCACCGATCACATAACATCCAACCTATAAAGCAAAGTCAATCAGTGATCTGCAAGAAACTGAAACACCTCACTTTAGGGGACAGCCTTCTCCGACTGTCTTTGGGGGATGAGATAGCTATAAAAACCAACTTCACACTAGATTACCGACAACACCACAATAACCACCCTAAAAGCTGAACAGATTGGGCCACGCTTTTGTATCATGATGCAATGACACAAGGATTTAATAACGAAAGAATGAGCAACTTATATGAAATTTTTAAAAATACACTTTAACTTATTTTGTAGAAATAACATTCTATAAACTTCAGAAAATATTAATAATTAGAGTAATGCATTAAAAACTTACTGGGTGTGTTCAAAGCAAATCCACAACCTTAAAGGTATTTATTATTGAATAACAAAGAATGAAAACGAATTAAATGCTCAAATCAGGAAACTGTAAAAGGTATACAATAAAGCCAAGGTGGGTGCCTGGGTGGCTCAGTCGTTAAGCGTCTGCCTTGGGCTCCGGTCATGATCTCAAGGTCCTGAGATCGAAGCCCGTGTCGGGTTCCCAGCTTAGCAGGGAGCCTGCTTCTCCCTCTCCCTCTGCCCCTCCCCCGTTCCTGTTCACTCTCTCTCTCTCTCTCTCAAATAAATAAATAAATTTTTAAAAAAATAAAGCCAAGGAAAATCTTTCGGAAACATGTACAAAATATAAAATTATACCCTAATCAATTAGAACAGCAGAATTACAAATGAACTCTATGATCTGGATCTTTGAAAAAACAAATAATATCAATTAGGACAAAGACAAATTTTATACTGCTAGGGTATAACCCACCAATATGGGTAGTAAGCATGTACTTTGCACTCCTACCAAAATAGACTTGAAACATAAAGCAAGAATTGCTAGAGACTGCAATAAGTCTTAATTCTCATGGTAAACCTCTCAGAAATCGATGGATTATATAGACATAAAATATTTGAAGTGTTGAAAGGATTTGAATAATACAGTCAACAAACCTGGTTCAATTAGTTATGGCTAGAACTTTGTTTCAAAACACACAATGCTTTCATTTCAAACACACATGAAACATTCACTGAAACCGACCAGATACTAAGCACAAATAAAACCTCAATAAATTGCAAAACATAAAAATAATTAAATCCACACTGTGATATAATTTCTAATGGGGGGGAAGAAGTCCCCATCCTCCCCAAACTATCCATCAGGAGATTAAATAACACCCTTCTATGGAACTCTTGGGTTAAATAAGAAATATACCACGAAATTAGAAAGAATACAGAAATGAATGATAATGAGGTCAGTACATATCAACTCCTGCGCTATATGGCCAAAGTAAGACCCAGAGGAAATTTTATAGAATTAAGTGAAAATATTAGAAACCAAAGAAGTCTGTAATAACTGATTCAGCATATGACTCAAGAAGTTAGAAAAAGGACAGTAAAATAAGTCCCCCCAAAAGTAGATTAGAATTACTAAAACTAAGAGAGGTTTAGTGAAGGGCGCCTGGGTGGCTCAGATGGTTAAGCGTCTGCCTTCGGCTCAGGTCATGATCCTGGGGTCCTGGGATTGGGTCCCGCATCGGGCTCCCTGCTCCTTGGGAGCCTGCTTCTCCCTCTGCCTCTCTCTCTCTGTCTCTCATGAATAAATAAACAAAAAATCTTTAAAAAAAAAAAAAAAAAAAGAGGTTTAGTGAAATGAACAAAAAAGAAGATTTGATTACCAAAACCAAAAGTTAGTTTGTACCATTTAGGAGTCCCTAAATAAGAGAAACTTCCACTCAAATAGGCTTAAAACTTGTGTCCTCTCTTCAGTGGTAGCAGCTTCCTCCTGAGTTGGTCCCCTTGTTGAGAAATGGATGCCAAGTGCACTGGGCAATGTACGGAAGTGTTGAATCACTATATTGTACCCTGAAACTAATCTCACACTGTATGTGAACTAACTGGAATTTAAATAAAAATTTCTAAAAAATGGTTGCCAACAGCCCATGTCCTTCTGTTTTCTCCCCCACATTCAGAGAAAGAGTGTGCATATCTCTTCTCTAACCATGCCTTATGCTGGCTGGGTAACCCAACTGGAGCCAGTTGGCTGGGGCACTGGACTATGCTAACTCCCAGGTCAGACTCCTGGGAGCTGGGAGTGTGACAGCTTCACCCTGAAGAACATGAGCAGCATGGCAGAGTGGGAGGGCTGCAGACCAGGACCTGGGGTAATATGAGGGAAGGATGGATACCATAAAGCTAACCAATAAGGTATACCAGATGGATTTTAAGATCTTTTTTTTTTTTTTTTTTTTTTTTTGAGAGAGAGAGAGAGAGCAGCAGAGGGAGAGAGAATCTCAAGCAGACTCCCCACTGAGCATGGACCCAACACCGGGCTGGATCCCACGACCCTGAGATCATGACCTGAGCCGAAATCACAAGTCAGACACTTAACCGACTAGGCCACCCAGGCATCCCTACCAGATGGATTTTTTAAAACACCTATGAAATAGACAAAAATTTGGCAATTCTAATCTTTAATAATTAGGAAAGGGGAAAGAATACATATATAAATAATATTAGAAATGGGAAAGAGGCCATAGGTTCAAATTTTATCCATCAGTTTGAAATGTAAGAATCTAAGCTAAAGTAAAGTGATTTTCTATACTAAAATTAATGCAAAAAGAGGTGGGAAACCCAACTAGGCCAATAACTATACAAGATATTTTTTAAATACTCAAAGATTTGTCTGTCCCTTAAAAAAAGCCATCAGGCCCAGTGAGTTTTATGTGCACAATCTACCAAACCTCAGGAACAGATAATGCTGGCATTGTATAAATTGCTCTAGGGCATAGGAATATACTAGAAAGCTTCTCAACATGGTTTAAGAGGCTACCACCGCAATGACACCAAACTTGAACAAATGGTGGAGCAGAGAGGAAAAGTGGAGACCAATCCAACTTTAGGGCAGAAATTCTAAACAAAATGCCAGCAAATGGAATCCGCAGTGTATTACGGGATTTATCTAAGTAATGTACTGAGATCCAGTAATGAATTTCATTATGTGAACAAATTAAATAGGAAAAACCATATAATCATCTTAATAGTTCATTACTGTGTCACCAAGGCCCAAAACAGTGCCTGGCACAGGGAAGGTTCCTAGTAAATCTCTGTGAAGCACATGAAGTCTGAGGTCAAGGTCAGCACGTGGACCCCACCATTACCGCCACTATTTTACACTGTGTTAGGGGTCACAGGCAATGAGATAACAAAAGAAATAAATGGTAGGATTTTCAAAAAGGATACGACGTAGCTCTCACCATTTTAGGGAATTTGATTAGGCCAAAAATAAGCCAAAAGAATCCACTGAGAAACTGCTGAATTAAGTAAGTCAGTTTTGCAAGATGACCAGGAATCAAGATCACTATGTTTTTTTTAAATCAGCAGCTTTAAAATACCTAACATATAAAATTAGAAAAAAAATATAATGGGAGGCGATATCATCCACAATGAATATAACCAAAATTTGCAAAATTCTTAGAAATAAACTCAATATTTTTCCAGACATCCATGAATAGAAGAGCCGAATGAATAGAGACATATACCATACCCCTGGTTAGGAATTCAACATTGTAAAATTAGTCTGCATATCTAATTTCAATTCAAATACCAATAGTATCTTTAACGAAAACTGACAAACTGATTGTAAAGTTTACATGGAAGATAAACTCTGTAGATTAGGCTTTTTTTTTTTTTTGAAAGAGACCTTTTGCTACCATTTAACAAAACATAACCGAAAGCTGTTTGAAACAGTACAGCACTAACCCAGGGACAAACAGATCAGTGGGAAAACAACAGAGGTTTCAAAAACATACACATGGATATATTAAGATTTCCTTATTATAAATGCAGATATTCAAATCAGCAGGAAAAAGACAGGCACTACAAGAAATAGTATCAATGGGATTGGCCCTCCAGGTGGAAATAGAGTTGGATCCCCACCTCACACCACACACAAAAAGAAATTTCAAATGGATTACAGAGTTATGCATAAAAAATAAATGTATCGAAATAAAAAGAAACATGGGAAGATAGCTTTTATAATCTGGAGATGGAAAGACTACCTTCAGCTAGGCGCAAAACCCATAAAGTAAGTAAAGACTGATTTGATTCCATAATAATTTTATTTAAAAAAAAGATTTATTTATTTGAGAGAGAGAGAGCACAAGCAGGGGGAGGGAGAGACAAAGGGAGAAGCAGATTTCCCACCGGGCAAGGAGCCGATGCGGGGCTCGATCCCAGGATCTCCGGATCATGACCTGAGCCAAAGGCAGACACTTAACCTACTGAGCCACCCTGACACCCCTTGACTCCATGATAAATTTAAATTTTAAAGGTCTTTATGGTAAACTTCCATCATTCCCTCCATTCCACATATTTCTAAAAGATAAAGAAATGTTTGTAAAATAATTGACAAAGGCTTAGTATTCAGAAAAGATAAAAACTTTCCCAAGAAAAAGAAAAGCAACCCAATCTTAAAAATAGGCAAAGCATATGAATAGAGGATTTACTAGAGAAAAGGCATATCTTTTTGTCAACAAACACGTGAAAAGATACTTTTCCAGTCAGGAAAATACAAATTAAAACAGCAATGATATAATAACATTCTATCATTGGATTGGGCACATTTTTAAAGATTGATAATATCCATCTTTAGCAACAGGGGAAATGTTCACTCTCCCATGCTGTACGTATGAATGTAAACTGGCTCAGCTTTGGGGAGGAATACTCTTTGATCGTACTCATACAAAATGATTAAATTTGTGTGTCCTTCAATGACTGTCCTTCCCTCAGCCCACTCCCAGGAAGAGAGGTGCAGAAATGTTTCAGAGCGCCCTCCCCCCGCCCCACCACATGCACGCAGCCCTGCCACCAGGCTGACGAGTCCGAAACAGCCTAAAACCTGGTCCAGGTTACAGAGCCTATGTCCCAGCCACACAGAACACGTGCAGTAACGTCACAGGATGACTAGCTCTAGGTATTGACGGAGAAAGTTTGTCAACGTGTGTAATTTTTTTAAAATGTGGATTATTAACAAGACATGTAAAATCCCACTTATTTTTAAAAACCATAAAGACATTTTATTTAAGGATGCCTACAGATTACTCCTGGGGAAGGGAGCAGCACTGGTGGTGGGAGGTGGTTGGGGGGGGCGGAATCTTTATATGTATTTCTGAATATGTTCAGTAAATCACAAGAATGTATTCAGATATTGCCTATAATTTTTTTTAAAAAATTTTTAAAGATAAAAACATAGATGATGAACACGTAATACTTCTGTAAGCAGGTTTTAGTGCCATTAAAAAAGAAAGAAAGCTGAATTTGGAGCAGTTTAGGCAAGTCCTTCCTACAGTCAGCCTATGAGGCATGTTTCAGCTGCTCCCTTGCAGCGGGCCCACTTTACAGATGAGGAAACTGAGGTCTCAGGCCCAGGCCCTTTTCCTATGCCCCTGCACTAGCGATATCGTAAAAACCGTCAGCCTCCCCTCTGGGGAGCCTGCTGGCAGAATTCATTCCAGGAGGCCCTGTCCTCCCACCCACCCTCAACCCCCCAGGGTCACCCACAAAAGAGAACAGAGCCAGCTCACATTTGTACAAATTTAATCCCTGCTATCCTGGTCCCCAACTCCAGAGCCCCTCTAGGCCACCCTTCCCTTCTCCTGGTCACCCAAGGCCTAGTCATCCACCACATCCCTCCCCACTGGGATGCCAGTGTCAGAGCCCTATCTCCCAGGGGCCACTCTTTCCCCACCTTGACTCTTGTTGAATACAGGCACATGACCTTGGTCTAACCTTGATCTGGACCCATACAGCAGAGGCAAAGCAGGAAGAAGAAGAGAGAGGGGAGATCAGGGATCCAGCTGGGGCTGCAGCAGCCAGAACAGGAGTAGGAACCAGGCGGAGGTCTGGGGGCCTGAGAGAGCCCCACTGCTTATTTGCTTCTTGATCCACTTGCTGTATTTGGTGACACGAGTGTACACGCCTGGGTTCTCTGCTTTGGCACAGGCCTTTTCCCAGGACAACACCCCAGCCAGAATCCATGTGCCCTCGACTTCACAAGCCAATGGGCCCCCAGAATCCCCCTAGGTAAAAAGAGAAGAATAATGGAAGCTCTGGGCCCCCCTGGGACCCAGGACCCCAGAGGACCCAGGATGCCCACCCTCTGACTTCTCTTGGAAGATTCTTTCACTCCCTGAGGATCTCACTACCTCCTTCAGCTCCTCCTTCAGCTCCTCAGTTGTAGACCCATCCCAGAATATCAGGCAAAATCAAAGTCCCAGGGGAAGGAAGATGGGAGCAGAGCACTACCCGGCAATGGTGACAAAGAGGGAAGCCAAGCAAACGCCTCCCCGGGAATTCCCCCCTACACCCTGGGAGTCGCTCCCAGCCAAAGAGCTGCCAGGACCTCCCAGAGACTCACAGAGCACAAGTTTTCTCCATAATTGGTGGCACAGATCATGTCCCCCAGGACAAGGGGGACGAGGTGGGGGATGGGGGACTTCTTGCGGTAAATCTGGTCACACTTCTTGTTGTCCATGATAAACACCTCAGCCTCCTGCAGCTCCGCGGTCAGCGTGGAGTTCGCTGTGGGGGAGCCCAGCGGGGTGAGAAAGGACTCCTCACTCCACTCAGCTCTGGCCTCTTCCCAGGGCCCCGTCGCCTCCGTTTCTGAGACTCAGCCAAGCCACGCCCCTTCTCACCCCCATGCCCTCCTTCACCGGTCTGTTCCCCTGCGGTGGGGACCATGTCTGGCAAGCCCCTCACCCTCTCAGGCTCTCTTTCCGGATCCCTTTCTCTGGGAAGCTTTGGCTTCCGAACCAAGCAGACCACAATCCAAGTTTCAATGCAACCACTCACAAACTGAGACCCCAACCACGTCCTGCTTCTCTCCGGCCTCTGGTTGTGCCCTCTGTCACCTGGTTACACTCACTCCCCTCCTCTGGCATCTCAGATAGACCCCCTGCCCAGAGCTCATCCCAGATCCCTCCCAGCTTGATCTCAAGATCACCTGACAAAGTCTTTGCCTCTTTCCTCATCAGCCTGGGCCCCCACCCACACTCAGTGACGAGTGCCCTGCAGGTAAGACATGTGTTACCGACGCGAAGGGTTTGGTGTGCGGCAGACGCTCAGGGCTTGTCAGGTGAATGAATGAGTGGGCGAGTAAATGTAGGGTTCCCTGACTCTGAGCTGCCGTAAGACGCAAAAGATCATGCCCAGCCCAGGTCCTGCTAGACCTGGGTGAGGTGCCCACAGCAAGCACAGTGGTGTAAACCATGAGAATGGTTTCCACATGAGGTGAGTCCTAACACATCCAAAAAACCAGGGCCCGGAGGTAACAGCCACAAGCTTCCTGAGAGGCATCATGAAGGGCTCCGGCAGGCAAGGCCCCAGAAGGAAGGCGGTGCCCCCTCTGTGGTTCTGCACCCCACCCTCGACCCATTGTGCTCACCTGAGAAGCGCTGTTTAACCTGGCCCCAGCCAGTCACCCAGCACTGCGTCCCAACCTTGAGGTTGTAGCTGGGCTCCGGGAGGCAGATGGGCTGCACGTACTTGCTGAAGGTGGCAGGGCTGTGAAGCTGGAGAAGGGCAACATCCCCCATGATGAATGTCCGGCCCCAGAACTTGGGGTGCATGACGATGTCCTTCACAGGGATCAAGGCAGCCTGCAAGGGCTTCAGCTTGGAGGTGCCAAGAATCACTGAGTATTCTTTGGTGCTACAAGGAGACATACAGCCCCGGCTAGTAGATGTCAGGTTCGCAAACAACACGATGCTCCTACCTCCACCGAAGACCCTCTCCCTTGGCAGAAGCCCTGCCTGATTTGCTCTGCTCACTCCATCTTGCTAATCCAGCCCGGAGGCTCTCAGGGTCAGAGATACGACTGACTGCCTCCCCATTCACTGTCCAAGTTGATTCAAGGTGGCCTCATCTGTGTGCAGAGTATGCAAGCACGCAGGTGTGGGTATACATGTATGTTCTCGTGTGCGTGAGGGGTGGGGGGTGTCTGAGGGGTAGGGGGTGTCTGCTGGGTTTTCCTGCTGCCCTGCTCAGGATACAGTCTTTGTTGCTTGGGGCTCCTGTGAGACCCTGAGCAGGGCTCTTCCCCATTCTGGATATCCCTTCCTACTCCCCCTCACCTCCCGACTCCCACACTGTTTCACAGAGGAAATGAGCAGGATGCACTAAGCCCATGGCAGCCCCGGGTCTCCAGGCCGGGGACACAGGGGCCACACTCACCCTTGGATGCAGTGGGCAGCAGTCACCACCCAGTTGAGATCAATGAGGGCCCCTCCACATACGTGCTCATTCTCCAGCCGGAGGCTCACCTCCCAGGGCCAATGGCGGGTCACATCCAAGTCCTCTGACCACCAGGGTCTGCCACAAACTTCAGGAACAATGTGCCAGGGAGACACAGTGACCACATATTGGAGGATGAGAACAACTGAGACCAAGATGCCCCCCACCCCAGGACCATGTGCCCAAAGCTGTAAACCAGGGGCTTGTCCCCATTTCAAAGATGGGGAGACAGGGTGAGAGAAGGACAGAGGCCTGCCCAGAGGCACTGTGCTAGACAGAAAATGACAGTAACAGAGATACAAGGCTTCAAGACAGAGACATAAAGACATCACAGGGGAGAGAGAGAGATACTGAGACAACAGGGAGCAATTAGCAGGGAGCCCCAAAATAAGGGAGAAGCATAGAAGGAGCCCCGGGACAAGCCATGCATTCTCTTGTGTCTGGACTAAGTCCCAAGGCCATGTTCCTGAAGGGCCATAATGCTTGCTGCATCTCTTAGATGCAGAGGGCTCTGTCCCCACATTACTCGTAGCTGAGAAAATTTCCAGACTTCTGTGTCAGAAATCTTTACACAGGCCATTCAAGAAAGAGCCTCAGCACAGAGCCCACAGAGGCCCCCCACTCACAGCTTATAGTCTTTGTCTGCACGAAGTTCCAACACAATCAAGTGGTACGGCTGTATGAGTGAACACAGATGCAAAAATTTCTAAATAAAATATTACTCAACATTATATTTTGAAAAAAATAATGCACCACGATCATGTAGAGATTGTCCCAGGAGTCCAAGAGTGGTCCCACCATGGAAAAGCCCTCAGTGTATTTGCCACATAAATGGTTCTTTTTCTCTAAAGAGGAAGATCATATGCTCTTCTCAAAAGACATAGAAAAAAACATTTGAAAAATTCAACACTTATTTATGACCAAAAAAAACCCCAGAAACAAAAACACCTCTTACTTAGTTTGGAACAGAAAGGAAATCCTTAACTTTATAAAAGTTAGAGACCACAAACCTACAGCAAATACCATATAACATTAAGGAACAGGCAAAAAGATTCTATACAGTCAGAAGCCAGGAATAATGGTACTTTGTGGGAGGAGGGCAGGGGAAGTAAACTAGAGAGCATAAGGGAGATTTTGGGGGCTGGTATAGGTCTACTTTCTGACCAAGACAGTAAGTAACACAGATGGGTTCACTGTGTGATAATTTCCTAGGCTGGACACTTAAAATTTGTGTACTTTTGTGTGTGTATATAATACTTCAACAACGTACTTTTTAAATCAATTACACTTTTCTACTCCAGCACAATCAACTAGGAAATATATTCAAAATATATCTTATCTTCAATAACAAAAAATCATAAGTACCAAGAAATTAACTTATCCAACACTATGCCAGATTTCTGTGGTGATATATTTAAAACTCTAATAAAGAAAAAAATAAATAAAACCCTAATAAAGGACACTGAAAATGATTAGCATAAATGGAGAGACATTCCTTGCTTTTAAATAAACAACTAAACATTTCATGATGTACTTTTTCCCAAAACTAATCGATAAAGTCATTTTCCAAGTTAGAATTTTAGGAAACTTTATAAACTTACTCCAAAATTGAAGTAGAAAAACAAAAGTCCATGAATAGCTCAGTCTCTGAAAAAGTAGAACTTAAAGGGACACTTGCCCTAGCAGGTATCAAGACACACATAAAAGTCATAACAGCAAAAACAGTGTCATATTGACAAGGACAGACAAATGAAGCAATGGAAAAGAATAGAGAGCTTGAGATTGTTTTGGGGACACAGGAACTTAAGGTAAATAAAGGAGCCACCACCATCAGTGGGTGAAGGATGGATGTTGAGTAGATGGTGTTGGGAAAACTGACTCACTATAAAAGATTTAAGAAAAACAAAACTGGATTCCTCCCTAGGAGCACTTGGAGATCTAAATAGGAAAGTGAAACTCTAAAGTTAACAGTAGGCCATATGACATGGGGTGAGAAAGGGCTCCCTAGAAAAAATCTCAAAACAAACCATAAAAGCATCAAATTGATTAATTTTATTACATCAAAATCAAGGATTTTTTTTTTTTTGACCCTGGGAATAAAGTTAACTGGCAGATGACAGATTGGAAGGCAATATTTACAATATCGAAAATCAATACAAGACGTTTATTAGGAATATACAAGGAGCTCTAGGAAATCAACAAGAAAAAAAAGAACAGATAATATGCAAAGGAGGAGAGGCAATTTATTAGAAGAAGAAACTCAAGAGGCCAAAAGCATATTGAGACATGCTGAAACCCATTCACAATGAGAAAAATGTCAATTAAATCAAGAAGCCATTTTTTTTATCTATTAGATAAAAAATTGGCAAAAAGATAATAAAAGCTGCATGGTAACACGGCTGGTATGTCTGTAACAATATTACACCTTTACGAATGGCTGGTAGGAATGCAGGGAGCTGGCCACATTAGATTATGGACAGTAGATAAAAGCACTGTATCAATGTACATTTTTGAAGTTGAGAAGTGGTTGATAAGTGATAAGTGAAGTTGATCAGTTGACACTGTGGTTATCTAAGGGAATAGTCTTAGAAAAAAGCATGCCTAGGTATTTAGAGATCAGGAGTCAGACTATATTACCCTCAACTGATTCTGAAAAAATTACATATGTGTTCCTTGACTTAGCTGTATTTTTGCAGTGTTTTGCAAGCTTAAAATTATTTCCAAATAAAAAAAAAATTTAATGGAACTGGTGAAAAGAGGAGGAGACAGAAAGGGATCTAGAGTATACACCATTTATGTAAGTTAAAAATACATGCCCACAAAACCACAATATGTATTTTGACAAGAACACGCACAAGCAGACACACATTGAACATACAAGAAAGGTTGAGAGGAGGGTGAGGAGGGGGAAGAGCAGCAGGGCATGGACATCAGCAGGAATAACTAATTTAATCAACTAAACAATTCATAACCAGAGAGGACCTATGACATTGGAAGCCCATGAACCAGTGAGCAACCTAATCCACCATACCTGACGCCTAAGGAAAAAGACCCTTTAGCAAGCAGGCCCTTCAGACTAAATTCCTGCTTCCTACGGACCCGGAAACACTATCTCTGTGACCCTCTTTAGAACACATCCTCCCAGCAGCTGAGGTTTTTCTGAAGCAGCGGCTCACCCTACTCACCTGGTATGGAAGTGTTTCCTTTATAACCTGGAGGAGAAAAGGGGAACAGAGATGAAGCAAGAGATCACGAATTAGTTCATTCGTTAGTTCACCAAATATTCCCTAAGCTCCCACTCCACTCCCAGCCAAGACCGGTGGGGGGACAGAGCATATCAAACAGATAACACGCTGTCCAGCAGCCGAGACGGAGGTAAACAAAACCACCTGTGTGGGGCGCCTGGGTGGCTCAGTCGTTAAGCGTCTGCCTTCGGCTCAGGTCATGATCCCAGGGTCCTGGGATCGAGCCCCACATCGGGCTCCCTGCTCAGCCAGGAGCCTGCTTCTCCCTCTTCCACTCCCCCTGCTTATGTTTCCTCTCTAGCTGTCTCTCTGTGTCAAATAAATAAATCTTTAAAAAAAAAAAAAAAAAAAAACCACCTGTGTGAGATCAATGCAAGCACAAGGCCACAGGTTTCAGGACAGCCCAGACGAAGTGGGGGACAGGAGGCTCCTGAGAAGCGGGGTTATTGTGCCAGATCTTAAGGACGGAAAGAAGGAAAAAAACAGAAATTGACAATGACATTCCTTGCAAAAGAAACACCATGGTGTATGCCAGAGCCTCCAGAGAATAAAGGACAAGGCCACAGATGGCAAGAAATGATGCCGTGGAGGAAGAAGAGTCAGGGGTCAATCACGAGGGGCCTCATAAGCCAGGCCGAGAAGCCAAGAGACTCTCTGGGAGGAGGGAGGGTGGTGGAAGGGTGACATAGTCAGGCTTGGGGGGTGAAGAGTAAGTAGGACGGGGACAAGACTGCAGGCAGTCCGATCCCACCAGAGCCTCTGCAGGACCCAGCAAGAAAGGAGGTGGTCTAAATGAGGAGGCGGCAGTGAGAATAGACCTGGTGAGCTGGATGTGGGATGCAGGCAGATGGCTCCATCTAGGATGACCCCCAGTTTCTGCTTTTAGAGAGGAGTGCCTACTATCCACCGCCTTAGAGAACAGAGTAAGAGAACCCAGTTTATAAGAAGATGAGAGGCTCCGCTGTGGACCCCAGGGAGCTGAGACGTTTCTAGGTCATGCAGCAGGCGGCTGCACCTGCAGATGCGTTGCTCTGAGAGGCGGCCTCACAGGAATTGCATGCAGCTCAGTGCCCGGGGCAAGTGAAAAGGGAACCCAGACAGCACGGCAGGGAACACGGATGAACAGAGCATGGCTGGCCTGGGAAGCACGCGGGGAGCAGGAGAGTTATCCTGAGGCAGATGAGAATCGGGAGGCACAGCAGAGAAGCCAAGGGCCTCGAAAAAATGAAAACGGAGGAAGTGGTAGAAAGGTCGGGGACGCGGCAGGAATGGGCCAAGGATTCGGGGGCAAGTGAGGAAGCCCTGGACGGAAGCATGAAGTGGAAACTGCTACTTCGAGAAATCTGGCAGTGAGGGGGAAGGGACGGGGAGAAGAAACTACGGCAAAGAGGGAGAGGATGAAGATGTGCAAGCGGAGGGCCTGCAGCGCAGAGCAGGGTGAGCGCGCTGACCCCGAACAGAGGTAAGTCTCTGCTGAAGAAACGGGGGAGGACGGTGTCGAGCCGTGGGGCTCGGAGGGGCCCCTGGGGCTGGAGGCCGTCAAGGGAGACAGCACCGGGGGCCTGCGTCTTCGGGGTGAATGAAGCAGCGGCCGAGCGGGGCGCCAGGGGAACAGAGGCCGGGGATGAAGAGGGCCGGTGGGAGCCGGGTTTCAGCGCAGCGAGACCACGGGAGGCCGGCCCGCAGCGCACGCGCAGCGACCTGCGGCGGCGGGAGAAGGGGGAGCGGGAGGCCTGCCCAGGCCGGGGAGCGGGGCTCGGGTCTCAGCCACGACGCCCACGGGCGTGGACGGGGAGGAGGTGGCTGCGCGTCGGGAGAAGATGCGGGGGTCCTCGGCACTGCCGGTCCCCAGGAGGTGGCAGGGCGCGTGGTGCCTGCGGGAGGAGGCCAGGGCGGGGCGGGCAGGAGCCTGGCGACATCCTGGCGGGTGGCAGTGGAGGACAGGGGACCATGGTGGGGGGCACAGAGTCCCAGGGGGCCAAAGAGCTAGCCACGCGCTGGAGTCCGCGCTCAAGTGCGGGGGCGGGGGGATGGGAGGCAGAGCGGAGCGCAACGGGGTGGGGTGGGTACGGGGAAGGTGGTGGACGGGGCGGACGGAGGGACACACGGTGGCGGAGGAGGCGCCGCCCTACCCGAGGTCAGCGGCGGTGCCAGCAGCAGCATCAGGACGCAGCGGCTCAGGGCCCAGGGCCCCGAGGCTCCAGGCCCAGCGCTGCGGCTGAACGGCAAGGCGGCCATGAGGCCCGGGAGGTGCCACCTAACGGGGCAGACCCAGTGCCGCGAGCCCCGGCAGGTGATGGCGACCCTGCCACGAGCAAGGGCGTCTCCAGCACGTGATGGAGTTCCGGGCGCGTGACGGCCGCGCCAGCCCGGGACAACGCCCCGGACATTCCCCCGGCACCCATGGGCACCCATGGGCGCCTCTCCTGCATCCGCCACCCACACCTTGTGCCTGTTCCTTGAAGATGGCCTCGGAGCCCGGGATCTGCGAGTGCCTCCAGGGTGGCCAACTCCATGAAAGCACCCCCAATTGCTTTAAGATGGCGCCGGTGCCCCCAGTCTCTGGACCTCTGAGGGTACCTTTGTCACCCAGCCTGACACACCCTTGGTCCCCTGGGCTTGGTGCGTTGGAAAGGTTTACAAGTTATGTTGATCTGAGAATCTGAAAAGATGTAGGAAGCACAGAAAAGGAAGAGTAAGGCAAGGGAATCCCGGAAGAGGTCTTTAGGAAACTAACATTTGCGCTGGATCTAAGACTGGAATAAGGAGTCTTGGGGGAGTCCTGAGAGGGGAAAGGCATTCCTCTTCTTCCACGGACCACCGATCGGATGGTTGCACCCGAAAGAAATGGTGGCGGATGCCAGGCCCTGGGCCGTCGCAGAGCGATTTTGCAGGATAGGGTCTTTGCATCTGCTGGATGTAGCAGAGTCAGGAGCGGATCACCAAGATTCCTGCTTCTCTTGTCTAGTGGCGGGGAGGGGGCGTCCAGCTCTAAGGGGGTCCACATAACGAGTTCCCACCACTGACAGGTGAGTGGAAGTGCTGTGTGCCATTTCCATGTCACGGTGTCAAGAGGAGGACGCCTTCTCTACTCGTGTTCATGCCGAGCAGTGGTGCCCAGAACAGCAGCACCATCACTTAGAGCTTGTAAGAGATGCAGTTCTCAGGCCCGCCCAAGACCTACAGGACTGAAAACTTGGGGAGTGGGACCAGTGATGTCTAGTTTACCAAGCCAGAGAGAGAGACGCTGGGACACTGAGCCAGAGAAAGAGGGTAAAGAGCCAGTGCCTAATACAATAAATCTCACTTGCCTTCCTCCCAGTAGGAGCACAGATGTTTGTTAACAAAGTGGAGGGGACAGGATGCCCGGGTGGCTCAGTCGTTAAGCGTCTGCCTTCAGCTCAGGTCGTGATCCCAGGGTCCTGGGATGGAGCCCCGCATTGGCCTCCCTGCTCAGTGGAGAGTCTGCTTCTCCCTCTCCTTCTGCCCCTCCCCTGGCTTGTTCTCTCTCTCTCTCCCTCAAATAAAAAAAATCTTTTAAAAAAATTAAAAAACAGGGGCGCCTGGGTGGCTCAGTCATTAAGCGTCTGCCTTCGGCTCAGGTCATGATCCCGGGGTCCTGGGATCGAGCCCCACATCGGGCTCCCTGCTCAGCGGGAAGCCTGCTTCTCCCTCTCCCACTCCCCCTGCTTGTGTTCCCTGTCTTGCTGTGTCTCTCTCTGTCAAATAAATAAATAAAATCTTTAAAAAAAAAAATTAAAAAACAAAGTGGAAGAGGGGACAGCAGTAGCAAATGGAAGAAGCAGAAGAGAAGGAATATTTCTCATGCCCTAACTTCATTCTTGCTCCCAGTTCTGGTCTCTTGTGATCCTCTCTTCGGAACTGCAGAGGCTGTGAAATTAAGCTCCAAAGCTCCAGGCAGACATGCGGAGTACAAGGAGCAGGACCCAGCTAGCTAAAACCATGCAGAGGACTCCCATCCAAGCAGGTGGGGACTCACCACGCCCTTGAGGGCTTAATAAAAACCATGAATACATCCTTTGCTACATGGGAAACTAGTTCTCTACAGAATATGTCATAAGCAACCCCATAACTTTCAGGAGACCAGAACTTAGAACAAACAGGAACATACTCCAAACATTTATTCAGTTGACACCTGAGATCTCTGCACTCCTTAATGCCTCTGCACACCTCGGGTGAGCCTGGATGGGGCCACTAGGGACTGAGGAAGGGGGCCTGTGTGCCACAGGCTGGCCACGCACGGCTGGATCCGCGCCGGGGGCAGGGGAAATGTCTCCCAGCCCCAGACAGCCCGGTCAGATGTGTAAAGCCCAGGCCTCACGCCTCAGCAGGGACATGGTGACGCCTCCTCCCTCTCTCTGCACTATCTGCAAGCTGCCCACTTCAACACAGTCTCAGGTGACAGCCTGAGACCACAGCCAGGTCCAAGGCTGCCTCGCTGCTCATGAGGTGTCTTCTCTGGTACAGGCTCTCCAAGATGGCAAGGAAGCACCGGGCTCCACCTGGCAGGCCGGCTGGCTCTCAGGCTGGGATGCTTGGCCCCCCTCCTCCGGGGCAGGCAGGCCACAGCCAAGGTCGTGGGTGTGGCCGACGCAGGTGACCGGGACAGCAGCAGGCTGGGACACTTTCGGGGCTCCAGCCTTGCTGCCACTTTCTACTGTGGGGCTCTCTACAGGCTCAGTGGACGCCAAGCAGGATTGGAGGAAAGGGCATTTGAGTAGGAGGGGGAGGTCGGAGGAGAGGCCCAGTGCGAGACCCGAAAACAGGAGCAGGGAGGGCTGGGGTGATCACGGGGCCACCAGGATGCCCAGGGGCAGCAACAGACACAGAAGGGGGAAGTAGCCTGCTGAGTCCCAAGAGCAAGCCCGACTCAAGTGATCAATGACCCAGTCCTTGTAGAAACTAACTTCTGTATAAACTCCAGGATAATTTTTGCGACCACAGCCAATGCCCCAGCTCACGATCCCCACCTGGACCCGTGTTTCATTAAGTTCACAGACCAGGGGCCCCCCAGAGTCTCCCTGGAAAAAGAGAAAGAAACAAACACAGGAATGGAAGAGAATCAACATCAGAACGGGTTGATCGCACCGCGAGGGTTGGGGAGATGGGCACTCGTGGGGCTTCCCCAGGACTCCCCGCAAGGCTCCACCAGCCCTAGGTTTCTGGGAATATTTGAGAGTTGAAAACTAAGTGAAAACTTGAACAACCTCTGAGAAATACTCCTGCTTCCCAGGTGCTCATGGACTCACACACAATATATAGCCAGTAGGCCCCAGGGCAGCAATACTGTTAATAATGTGTTGAAATCCTCTTCAAATGCCCCTGTTCCTCCATTGCCCCTGACCTGTCCCCCATGGTCCTCTCCAGGCCTCCCATGACCCAGCAACCAAAGGGGTACCCCTGGCCCAGTATGCAGCCTCCAGAGCCCTACTCCAGCTCTAAGGCTCGTGTCTGTTCTGATTGGCCGGTCCTGGGCCTCCATGGATGTGAAATACTTTGAATATCAACCCTGCATCAGAGGATCCCATAATCCTCACCTCCAACCTGAAATTCCCCCTGACCTTAAACCCACAAAGCCAACACCACACACACATCAGTTCCCTGTCTCCAGACTATCCCAGACATCCCATATACACCCCATCTCCCAGACCTGCTCTGGTGCCCCCGCCCCCACCAGCCAGCTCAGACAGAAACAGAGAGCCCTCCTAACCTCTCCCTCGCCCCCACCCTCCCAGCAGGCAGTCACCTAGAACTCATGACTCAACCTCAGACACACCTCCTTCACCCCCTCACCGCCCCGGCTCCTGCTCGGGACCCCGCATCATCGCCTAGATGATGGAGACAAACACCTAGCCTACAGTCCTGCCCGGATGGCGTCGAGAAACTTGGCCCAGCGCTCCAGGCCACACGGATTCCGACTGCAGCCCTCTTCTCTGGCCACCTCATTGCTCCAGACCTGGAAGGCAGGCCCTACACGTGACAAGCTCCCTAGGACCTCGGAGCCGCTGCCCGTGCTGCTCCCTCTCCCTACAGCGCTGTTCTCCTCTTTCCAAGAAATCCAAATACTCATCCTCTGAGACCCAGCTCCAACGCCCCCTCCTCCAGAAGGCACTCGGAGCGGGAGGAAGACGGCGGGCCCAGGAGGCCTGCAGGCACGCACAGGGGTCCCTGAGCTAGCACCCTTGGACCTCCCCTCGTCTGTGTGACAGCTATGATGTCTATGTGGCAGGCTTATGACGGGGGTTAACAGAGCTCATGGGGTAAATGCTCCCACTGGCTCACACAGGAAGTGCCACAGAGGGGGAACTCAATTCAAGGAACGTAGAGTGTTAGGACTACCCGCGCCCGACTTCCCCACACCTTGGCAGGGCCCCCAGGCAGCAAGGAGCAAGCCAGGCCAGCTCCGGGGAGCCGCAGGGGGTTCTCCCCATGAATCTCCTTCACTCAGGAGGGAAAGGAGGATGTGGCAGACCGCGCAGGCCCTGGCACTTGGGAATGAGGAAGCCTGGGAGGGACACTGTTACTGAAGAAGCCACAACGGAGCCAGGAACCGACCTTGCAGAGACTCTCCCCTTCTTGTTAGCCACAGACCATCCCGTTTTTCACTAGGTTGCGAAATGTTCCTAACCGTGTCCGCAGTATCTCATTACATTTCTTGAGCGAAGAATGAGTTGCTTGGTCTCCTGAAGATGAACTGACACGAGTGCTGGAGCGACAAAGTCGGGGTCTGCGTGAGTGGACAGCACAGGAGCCCCTCAAACCCCCTCTGTGCCCTCACACTCTTACCCCCTCAGAGGCAGTCGGGGCAATGGATACTGTCCCATTGACAGGAGGGAACGGAGGCTGTGGGGGTGAGGGGAGAGGAAGAGGAAGAGGTAAGAAAGGTCATGACAGGAGAAGGAGGGACCCCTCAGGACAGAAAGAGGCCAGGCCTTACAAACCAGAAGAGAAAAGCAAGCGTCACTCTTGAGTCCCAAGAGTAAATGACAGGTGTCCTGTGCCGAGCAGAATCACAGACTCTCAGACAGGGAGTGCCCCCAAAGCTTCCAGTCCAGCCTCTTCCCCGAGATAGGAGGCCCTCCAGCCTCACCAGGAGGGTTGCTCTGGCTCAGCCCCCACCCCCTGGCATGAGCAGCTCCCTCCCCACCAAGCAGGGACTTCCATGGAGGGGCAGCTCTGACTGGCATCCAGCTCATCCCCCCCGGAGCTGAAATCCATGCTGGATAGAACCCACCATCCCTGGCCCCCAAGCCCCCACGTGCTAACATTCTCACAGCAATTCTTGTTTTAAAGATTTTCTTTTATTTGAGAGAGAGAGAGAGCGCGCACAAGTAGGGGGAGGGGTCAAGGGAGAGGGAGAAGCAGACTCCCCACTGAGCGCGGACCCTGGGATCATGACCTCAGCCGAATCAGATGCTTCACTGACTGAGCCTCCAGGCGGCCCTCATTAAGCAATTCCTAGAGGTTCTGTTACTCCCTGGCATACCTCCTCATCCTCTCTTGTCCCCCATTAAAGACTCAGCCTCCCTGTCCCTGGTGGGACAGCCTGTGGGCCAACGCCAGCACCCCAGGCTGCCCCCTCAGCTCCCCACTTACCAGTCTCACCTGCCAGTTGGCCCCAGCCAGTCACCCAGCACTTTGTCCCACTTTCCACGTGGAGAGACCTTTCGGGGAGACACACAGCCTGGATGTACGAGGAGTAATTCACAGAGAAGGCCAGCAGAACGAGGGCAACGTCATGTCTCAAAGTTCTATCATCGTAAAAGCGATGGCAAATGATGTCTTCCACCGGAACCACCAGCATTGTTTCGGAATGAGAATGTCCCAGTTTGTCTCCCAGCCTCACTGTATATTCCTCGTGGCTGTGGGAAGAGGACATGCCCGTCCCAGAGATCCCAGAGGGTCTACACGCCCCTTTCCACAGTTTCCAGCTTCTTCCCAGCCTGGTCCTGTCTCCTCGGCCAGCATCAGGCCCCTGCCTGCCTGCACACCACATCCAGTCCCCAGCCCCGAACCACTCCAGCCAGTGGTTCTCCAAGTGAGGTCTCGAGACTACCAAAGCAGCCCCAGGGAACTTGGTAGACATGCGAATTTCCAGGTGTCACTCCAGACTGAATAAAACCTAGGGGGCTGTGACTCTTTTTCGGAGGAGAAGGGGAAGCTCGGGGACGGGGACAGGACTGGCTCCAGGTCACAGAGCCCCCGACACTCACCTAATTATGCAATGGGCGGCAGTCAGCACCCACCGACTGGCAATGAGGGAGCCTCCACATATGTGTCTATCATTGATCCGCAGGCTCACCTGCCAGGGCCACTTACGCTCTGCCGCGGGCATTCCACCGGCTATCCTCATAGACCTCTGGCCGCATCCTGGTCAGCTCACTGAAGAGAAGGGACTGGAGGTGAAGCTACTGTCTGGTTCCCCGCCCAGCGCCCCTGGCCGGCCACCAGCGTGCAGAGCCAGGTTTCCTCTCCAACCCTTCAAGACAGAGTCTGACCCTTGTAGCTCCCCAGCCAAGCAGCTTCCCCTCTGGCCTCCCAGGCGGACCTGTCCAGACCTGCCCAGAAGCAGTACCTTGAGGAGAGAACGTACCAAATACAGTGGTCTGGCTGGACTTCACTGTGAGTGTTAGAGGTGCTATAGCCGCAGTGGATATTGGCATCCGCGGGGACTCGGGGGGCCCTGGTGGCGACGGCGCCTCTGGGCTTGCCAGGATCATTGCAGAATCCGCGCTGGGACTGTAACCCTCACCTGGGGAAGATCAGTGAGACAGGAGCTGGCCCGAGCGCCCCCCCTCGCCTGCCCCTTCCCCCGGCACCCCCAGCAAACCTCCCCCTTCCACTCCCCACCCCGTGAGCAGCCCAGCCCGGCCTGGCCCCCCCACCCCCTCCCCTGGCCCCATCGAGCTGGGGCTGGAGGAGCAGGAGCCTGAGCAGGAGGCCCAGGGGGCCGCGGGGAGGGGGGGACGCCATGGGCCCGCCCGCGCTGCAGCCCACTCAAGGCGCCCCCTCGCGGCGGCCCACGGCCCTGCGCACGCGTTGGCTGGACCCCGGTGTGCGGGCACAATTCCCAGCCAGCTGCACCTCCAGGATTCCCGCCTCCTGGTTATATGACCGAAAACAATCCAGGTAGTGCTCCTCAGGCGCTTGAAGATGTCATTGCTTTTATCGACCTTAAAATAGAGATCTTCTGGATTATATGCCCCAGAGTAATCTAATCGCTGGAGCCCTTGAAAGGACAAGGACATGCATTCTACCCCATGGAAGGTGAAAAACAAAAGGAAAGTATGATAAATAGAGAATACAAAACCAAAGGGCAGTATCGAGTCCTAATATGATAGCATTTGCAATTGAGTGTGAACAGGTTGAACACACCAGACAAGCAAGAACTTTCACATTGGTAAAAAAGTTAAGGTCCAGAAATATACTAGATACTAAAAAAAAGAGGCAGATACATTGGTAATAAAGGAATAGGAATGAAATACCAGACAAATCTGATGCAAAAGAAAGGTGGGATAGCAATTTTCTATCAGATCATAAAATCAAAGGCAAAGATTATGCAAGAGGGGGGCACCTGAGGGACTCAGTCAGCTAAGCCTCTGACTCTTGATTTCAGCTCAGGTCATGATCTCAGGATTGTAAGAGCCCCACATGGGCTCCACACTCAGCACGGAGTCGGCTTGAGATTCTCTCTCTCCCTCTCCTTCTGCCCATTCCCCTGCTGGTGTGCTCTCTCAAAAATTAATTAATTAACTAACTAATTAATTAAAATATTATATAATGGACAGAGAGATTTATATACAGTTAAAATAAAAAATAATCAAGAAGATGCAATGAGAGGGCGCCTGGGTGACTCAGTCATTAAGCATCTGCCTTTGGCTCAGGTCATGATCCCGGAGTCCTGGGATCAAGCCCCGCATCGGGCCCTCTGCTCGGCAGGAAGCCTGCTTCTCCCTCTCCCACTCCCCCTGCTTGTGCTCCCTCTCTTGTTGTCTCTCTCTCTCTGTCAAATAAATAAATAAAATCTTTTAAAAAAAGAAGAATAAGAAGAAGATAATGAGGAGCAATGAGGAGCCCTTAATACGTAAAACAACAGTTGACCAACTTCATGGGAAACCAGAGGTTTTCAAACATTCCTCTTAAGAAGCCGATAGCTTATAGAGGCAAAATTAAGCAAAAATTACAGGATATTTGGCTATGACCAGTGATAACCTTTTTTTAAAAGATTTTATTTATTCATTCATGAGAGACAGAGAGAGAGAGGCAAAGGAAGAAGCAGACTCCCCACTAAGCAGGGAGCCCGACAAGGGGTTCAATCCCAGGACCCCGGGACCATGACCTGAGCCGAAGGCAGATGCTCAAATTGACTGAGCCACCCAAGCGCCTCACCACTGATAATCTTGATCTAATAGCAATATGATGAATTTTACAACTACCAGCCGAGAACACTCATTCTTATTGAGCACTTAAGAAACATTCAGGAAGAAGGCCACAAAGGAAGACCAGTAAACTCAAGGAATCAACATTATACCTTCTGTTCTTGAGCTACACATCTATAATACTAAAATCAACTTCTACAAAAAATCCCGTAGTTCTGAAACAGACAAAACTCTAGAAGATGGTCCTCCTATTAAAAAGGAAATCATAGGGGCGCCTGGTTAGCTCAGTCGGTTGAGCATCTGACTCCTGATTTTGCCTCAGGTCATGATCTCAGTGTCATGGGATCAAGCCCTGCGTCAGCTCCATGGCTCCATGCTCAGCGCAGTCTGTTGGAGATTCTCTCTCCCTCTGCCCCTACCCCACTCACCTGCTCTCTAAATGATTAAATAAATAAAAGCTTTAAAAAAAGAAAAAAGGAAATCATGAGAGGGGCGCCTGGCTGGCTCAGTCGGTAGAGCATGGGACTCTTGATCTCAGGGTCGTGAGTTCAAGCCCCACGATGGATGTAGAGCTTACTTAAAAATAAAATAAAATAATTTTTAAAAAGAAAATCATGAGGAAAATAATGACAATTTAAAGATTACTACCAATGAAAGCACTATATACGAAATACCGCGTGATGCAGCTATAGTCGTCCTAGAAAGTAATGTAAAGCTTCGACCATATCAGAGCTAAATATGCAGCTCAGAAAGTGAAAACAATCAATGGAGTAATCCCCAATACAGGGCTTGGGGAAAGAAAAGACTAGCAAGAAACTGCAGCAGGGGGCGCCTGGGTGGCTCAGTTGGTTAAGCGTCTGCCTTCGGCTCAGGTCATGATCCCAGGGTCCTGGGATCGAGCCCCGCATCGGGCTCCCTGCTCAGTGGGAAGCCTGCTTCTCCCTCTCCCACTCTCCCTGCTTGTGTTCCCCCTCTCGCTGTGTCTCTCTCTGTCAAATAAATAAAATCTTAAAAAAAAAAAATTAAAAAAAAACTGCAGCAGAAGTCAATAGAGACAAAATTATGAAGAAGATGAACACAATCAGAATTCTGTTCTCTGAAAAGCTCAATAAGAGACAACATTCTAGGAAGAATGAATAAAAGAAAGAAAAATACAGAATAAATAAAGGGAAGCAACTTAAAGATGTAACAGATATTTTTCTTTTAATTATAGAAGAATGTCATTAAATGCATGTGCTCACTTGTCCTTCTGGCCAAGATAGACTAATAGGGATTGCCCTTCCCACCTGAACAACCAAAGATGGGCAAAAATATGAAACGACAGTTTTCAGGACATTGGACACCAGGCCACAAAGGGCAGGACCGCTGATAGATGGAAACCAAATGGGATGAGTCCTATCATGGCTCTGCTTGTGGCCTTCAGAGAGTTTCTAGGCCACAGTTCAGAGAAGAGGAACCTTGGCAGAACGTCACAGGCTCCCTGAGGTGAGCAAGTGAAGCTGAAAGGGGGGGGGGCACCCAAGGCAGCTATGCAAAGAACACTGGGGGGCGGGGAGAACTCTGGAGATCTGCAGAGGCTCCCCGTTGAGTACTCCCCAGTGTACTGATCAGTGAGGAGGTGGGGGGGATCTACTGGAAGCTAGAGAAATAACCACTTGAAAGGATTAGACTTAACAATGCCCAGTGTTCACCGGGGGTCCAGGAATAGTGCCTGTTCCCAGCACCCAGACTGGAAAAACTCAAGATTCACAGAGCACTTGGTAGCATGTTCAGAAAAGTCTTGTCTCAGGCGGGACGCCTGGGAGGCTCAGTCCATTAAGCGTCTGCCTTAGGCTCAGATCATGATCCCAGAGTCCCAGGATCAAGTCCCACCAAGTCCAGCCTCAGGCTCCCTGATCAGCGGGGAGTCTGCTTCTCCCTCTGTCCATCCCCCCTGCTCATGCGCTCTCTCTCTCTCTCTCTCTCTCTCTCAAATAAAAATCTTTAAAAAAAAAAAAAAAAGTCTTGTTTCAGCAACAGGAAATAATTGTTCCTAGACTGAGAAGTGTTCCAGTCCTGTCTAACAAATCTTTAAAGCGAGCCCTGAAAATATCCATTTCTTTTTTTTTTTTTTTAAGATTTTACTTATTTACTTGACAGAAAGAGACACAGAGAAGCAGGCTTCCTGCTGAGCGGGGAGCCCAATGCGGGGCTCGATCCCAGGACCCTAGGATCATGACCTGAGCCGAAGGCAGATGCTTAACAACTGAGCCACCCAGGCGCCCCTGAAAATATCCATTTCTAAGTAATTTCACTGCATCCCAAATAAAGCTCAAGAAAATTTCTAGGAAAATATCAAACATCCAAGTAAAAGTCACAGTGTCTGGTATCCAATCAAAGAATGTCCAACACTCAAGGAGCATGAAGATACCAACGCATAATGAGGAGAATTGCCAATCAATCCAAAGAACTGACACAGGTGTTAAAATCACTGGCAAGAATATTCAAACAGCTATTATAACTGTAAGACATACATAGGTACTCAAAAGTTAAGTACAGATATTGAAGATGTAAAAAGACCCAAATCAAAATTCTAGATATAAAAACTACCATGTGTGAGATGAAAAAAAGACAGTGACTGCTGGGATTAACATTATGCTAAACATGGCGGAAGGAAGAGATGGATGAACTTAAAGACATGACAATAAAAAAAAAATTACCACAGTGGAACACAGAGAGAAGAGGGAGTATAAAAAAATAGAACACCATGGGCTCATGGCACTTCCACAAGGGAGAGGTGCTGCGTAGGAGAGACAAAAATATTTAAAGAAATAATGGTCAAACATTTTCCCAGATTTAATTAAAAAACAATTATCCCAGAGATCCCAGAAGCTCAACGAATGCCAAACAAATGAACCTAGACAGAAGCACAACCTAATCAAATGGCACTCCAAGCCAGTGATAATGTGAAGAGGAACACAGGGAAGTGTGACAGTAGATACCTCATCAGAAACAACGCGAGGGCGCCTGGGTGGCTCAGATGGTTAAGCGTCTGCCTTCGGCTCAGGTCATGATCCCAGGGTCCTGGGATTGAGTCCCACATCGGGCTCCCTGCTCCTTGGGAGCCTGCTTCTCCCTCTGCCTCTCTCTCTCTCTCTCTGTCTCTCATGAATAAATAAATAAAATCTTTAAAAAAAAAAAAGAAAAGAAATAACATGAGCACTGTTCTCAGCTGAGGTCAACAAGATGACGCCATGCCTTCCAGTTTCAGCTCTCATAGCATAAACACTTGTTCCCAGTCGACCGTGTGCCATATTTTTCCAGTTTTGTGGAGGCTTTTTTGCTGCTGATTTTGCTATTTAAAATGATCCCCAAGCAAAAAAAATAAAAAATA